TTGGAGAATTTATTCATTTCTTTTTAGTCTTAGTTTTTTCTCCTCCTCCATGTGCAGCATTTCTGTATTTCTGTCCTCCAAATTGCTGATTTTGTCCTCCATAATATCAGCTTTGTTTTTTAAGGACTCCAGATTTTTCTTTTATGTCATTCATTGTGTTTTTCACCTCCAACATTTCTGATTTTTTTTTTATAGTTTCAATCTCTTTTGTGAAGAATTCCCGCTGTGTGTTAATTTTATTCCTGAGATCATTAAACTATCTTTCTGAGTTTTATTGTAACTCGTTGAGTTTCTTTATGATAAATATTTTGAATTCTCTGTCATTTAGATTGCAAATTTCTGTGACCTCAGATTGATTACTGGGTACTTGCCACTTTCCTTCTGGTCTGGAGCATTAATATATTGATTCATGCTATTTGATGGGGTGGACTTATGCCGTCACATAGTGGTTGTATCTGGTCACAGATTCCACTTGCCACCACTGGGCGGGGTGGGGTGGGGGGGCAGGAGCTGTGTATTCTGAGCCCGCTGCAATCTCCAGAAGCTGTGCTTGTCCGGTGGAAGTTGTGCTGGCAGGGCCCATCTGTGTCTGCTCACTGGCCGCTGTTGCTTTACACACATATGCGCAGGCTCTGTGGCAGGGGTTTCCTGCTCTGACCAACTGGCTGAGCTTGTGCAGCAGGCGGGAGGGAGGGGAGAGGTGCTTTCTTTCATGTGTGCGATCCTGTGTGCCCCCAAGCTGCACTCACTGTCTGCCTGCCTGGGGTGCTCACCTTGGTGTGGACACCCCCGCGACTGCTTAGGCGTCTCAGTGTGGAACGTTCCCACATGCTGGGATGCAACTCCGAGAGTGCAAGCGTTCCCACAGAGGGCTGCCTTCTCCCCCTTCTCCTCTCAGGGTTGTGCGCCTTCTGCTGCCTAAGGTCCCACAGCCTAGACTGCTGCTGCTCAGGAGAGGAGATCCCCTTACCTCCTTCCACTGCCTCCTGGGGGGGGTCCAGAACCCCCTCCTTCAGACGTATGGCTGTGTGGATCTCTCATATGTCTGTTGTACTGTGTGCATGTCCTCTGTTGGTTTATGAATGTCATTTTCATTGTTTCTTAGAGGGGAGAGACTAAGGGAAGAGCTCATTCTGCCATGATGTTGACATCACTCCTCAAAATGAATCAGGAATATTTTTGTTTATACCAAGTGGGATCAACAAAGACCATAACTCTCTATCCATCAGGGGCCTGGCAGCAATTGGTGCTACCAACTGTTCCCAGGGCCTCCTGAAGAGTTGGATGAAAGGGCTACCTGCAAAGGTGTGGGCAGGGCCAGGAGAACCACCAAGGGACAGTGATGACCCAGGGCCTGGCAACAGAGGGAAGACTTAGTGTGCCCAGGCCAGAGGTGATGGCTGGCAGGAAAGCTGTGGGGTGCAGAGGGAAGGAGCTACTGCTGCCTGCCCTCCAAATGGGCAGCAAGGCAGGAGGGGATGGCAGGCAAGGAGGAGTGTATGAGGTAAATGTGCAGAACGTCCAGGGCAGTACCAGATGAGTTTGGTCAGGTCAGATTTGGCTGCCAAAAATGATTTGCAGGGCTCCACTGGATTTCAGAGATGTGGCTGAGGGATTATGGGTTCGTTTTCAAGCATTAGTACAAGACGGTACATTATAGCAGCCTTTGCACTTTGCTTTTATTGCTCAACACTGCTTTGGAAATTTATCCATGTTGAATGTGGCTCTCGTTCACGTATTTCAATTGCTCCAAAGGATATAACTGACAGTATAATTTTCTTTTTCTTGTCGTTGGATATTAAGGTTTATAATAAAATTTTTGGCTAATACAAATAATACAGCAACAAACATCCTTAAACATGTCTTTTTATGCATATGTAAAAGGGTTTTTCTAAAGTATATAATCAGAAGTGGAACTGTTCGATCAATGGTGATACAAAGCATGTATATTATCAGCTATTGTTAAATTGCTCTGCAAACCAGTTATTCCAATTCACTCTCCCACCAACAATGCATGCTGCCACATACACCTTTGTCAGCACCTGGTGTTGCCAATTTGATGCAGCTGAAATGTATGACACTCTTATCTTATTTACATTTCTGTGATTCCCAAGGAGGTTGAACATTTTTTCCATGTTTATTGGTTATCTGGTTTCCATGAATTGCCTCTTCATATCTTTTGCCTGTTTTTCTATTGGGCTATTTCTGTTTCTTTTTCATTAGAGGAAGGTCTTAATGTGTATTTCAAATATCTTCTCTGATTCTGTGGCTTGTTTTTTAATGCTGTTTATGGTGTTTTTGTTGTATACAAGTTTTAAGTTTCAAAGTAGACAAATTTATCAATCTTTTCCTGAAAGGTTTAGTTTTTTTGTATCTTGTTTACGAAATGCTTCTCTACCCTGAGTCACTAAGAGTCTCCTCTGTTTTCTGAAATTTAAGAAATTTTGTTTTAATTCATTTGGAATTCATTTTTGTGTGTGCTAAGAGGTAGAGATCTTTTTAATTTTTCCCACTTGAATATCCAATTAATTCTGTGCCATTCATTGACTGGCTCATCCTTTCCCTGATAATCTGTAAGACTGCTCTTTCCACACAGGTGTGTGTCTCTAGGCTCCACTCTGCCCCACGAGCACCCCTGTGCCCATACTGCACAGTCCCTGTTCTTCTTCTGACCTGACCACTCAGTGTGGGCACTGGACAGGCCGTAACTGCCCTTGGCTCCCATCCTCTGCTGTGGCAGGTAAGTGGTTCCCATTTCAGTTTCATTTTCTCCATCTTTTGTCCTGGCATGAGCTTCCAATTAGAATGCTTAGGGAACATTTCCTTGTTTGCACATGTGTGAACCTGTGTGTGTGTGTGTGTGCTAGGATTATTTCTCCAGCCTCGAAAAAGCATGGCCTTCAGCCTTCTGATGGTCTTTTTTGCTCTTCACACTTGCCTGAGAGGTTAACAGAAAAATGCCAGAGGAGACTCGGGCTGTCCTGTGCCCTCCTCCTTCCAGTCTAGCTGCACAGCTCTGCTGCCTGACTGTGAGCCAGGCAAGAGGGATGAGGACAGGCCAGGGCGTCATGTTCTAATGCCTGGCAGTCCCTCCCTTCAGAGCAGTGGGACCTCGCTTCAGTGGCCTGTGAGAGCCAGAGCTTAGGATTCCATGCCGCTTGCTATTTGAAATTATAATTATGTTTTGTTCAGAGTGTTGTTTCCTACCTTCTAGTTCTCCTCCCTGGTGGTCCTCCTCCATTTTCAATATCAGATGTCAGAAATGTGTGGTGAAGAAATTATTTTTAAAATTAGAATTTAAAGTATATCAAAACTTAAAGCTCCATGGAAGAAATCTTAAGAAAATCTCATAACTACTATATACGACATGTAGAACCCTGATAACTAAGTCAGTTTGATATAAGACAAAGACCTAAATTTACATAAATATGACTTTTTTTTTAACAAGGAAAAAAGATATAGACTCTATTTGAAAAACGGCACATAGGCATTTGACAACTTTCAAAAGATGAGAAAAAAAGTCCAATAAAAATCACTCAAGTAACTAATAGTATGTATGTAACTTTTCCCTACCTACGATTCAAAGGGAATCATTAACTCTATATATGATACCATTAACGTGATTAAAATGTCCTTCTCCACAGGCTATGACATTCATTTCTCTGTAAATTACAATCTTAGAACACTCTAACATTACTTAGGAAAATACATTTAGAAACTCTTTCCTAGTCTTAAAGACGACAGGAATTATTTTAGGACATAATTAAAATACCACGGCAAGGTAATGATCTTTTTATAAATACATTCCCTACCCTAAATAGGTCTGTTTGTTAGGACTGTAATAAACTCTCTGCTGGCCTCAAGTATTTTCAGTGTACAGAAAAAATCAAACCACTGTATATATTTAGTAACACTAGGAATAATCAGAGAAGGTAAAAAGCTTGTGGAACAAATTAATTACAATTATTGTGTATGGCTTTGTGCGTCCTTGTTAAACTCATCATACATCAAACACGGCCTGTTACTTGTGATGATGTATCAGAGCAGCTGTTTCAAGGCCAGATAAAGGAATGACAACAACACTCTAAACAATGGAAGAGTCTATTCACTGCATCAGTTTCACACGGACATGAAAATGGTTACCTTTTAAGACCTACAACTTCATCAGCAAATGATAAAATTTACAGATATTTAAAAATTAGTTGTTCCCTCTCCCTTGTAAAAGTAGAATATCTCCCTATCTTTCCTTCCCAAAGCTTCTCAATCATAGGAACAATTCTAGAATCACTTCAGTAAAAGAAACTCAACGAAGCATTTGATTTATGCTTATTAAATATTAAACTTTACGTGGTTTACATGTAAAATGTCTGCTAACCACCTAAGCAAGCACTTCTTATTTACCTATTGGAGGACACACAATTCTGTACCAGGATAACAGCAGCGAGAAAAAAGACAATTATGGGGGTGTACAATTTCCAGCGGTGCACAGACTGCCAGAGCATCTGTGTGCTCCCTGTTAAAATGCCTGCAGCCCAGACAGTCCCTACTTGTACTTCAGGGCAGCGCCTCTGCTGGCTATTTGCACTTACTCCTGTTAACGAACAGACAGACTGCTGTGTGCATTTCTGGTGAATGCACCCATTCAGTAATAAACCTCCTCTACCAAGCAGAGAAAATAGCGTATTTTAAAAAATCAACATAAAACTATTTATCTCTAGTCATTATATTTGATGAAGCATATTTCATCAAAGTATATGCTGCTGTTTCAAGTAATTTGATCATTTAAAGTAACGGTTTTTTAACTAATTGGACTTAAAATTAAAACTATGTTAATATGATGCTTTTTGCTGCAAGCACTGGTATCTAATCCAACAAAATTGTATTGATGTGCAAGGGCTTTGGATAATATATTCAAAGTAATTAACTCTAGGGAAAATATTATGAAGGAAGGCAAGACTTACAAAAAAACAATATTGAAAATCACACACATTGTTACTTACAATTAGCTGTTTCAATCCAACAAAAGACTGTTCCACTGAGTTGGCATTTAAGACCTGTCTCTTTGCTGCAGCTTTTTCACCAAGGAAGCGAAGCATTAAGTCTTTAACTGCATCTCCCTTGAAAGAATATAAGAAAAATATGTCAAGACAATAAAATGTTAATTAAACTTGGCTAACTGGAACCAACAACTAATCAAAATTTCCTTTTTCCCCATTGGTGTGTGGAGGTTAAAATGTGGTTCTAGTATAGTAAAACTTCAATTAACCAGAGCTAAAGTATCACGATCTTTAATAAAATGTGTATTCTAGAATTGCTCTTTTTTTTTGGAGAGAAAGTGGTAAATCGCTACCACCTGTACCAGGCTTATATAAGCGGCACGTTAAGCCAGGAGGGGCTTCAAGTGAGGGGCCTGCGGAGGCCCCTTCGGTGTGAGGTAACACCCTGGGGACAAGGGGCTGGGAGTCACTGGGAGGAGTACTCATGCTGAGGTAGGCAGGCCTGAGCAGCACTCTGCTCAATCCCATCAATCCACCAGCTGGCACGGGCCTCTGGGAATGGCCTGCTTAAAGAAGTTCCTAGTGGCACGGGGTGCCGCCTTCCTTCCAAAGCTAAGCTCACTCCTTAGCCTGAGAAAAACAGAAGAGTCCCTTTCCCTGCAGGTCCTTTGCAACCCTGCTTGGCGAGGCCCTCTGCTCACAGGAGTAATGCTGCTCACCAAGGACGAGTCCACATGAGCCTCTGCACGGGGACCTTCTTTCTCACAACCTGATTCCTCAGGTTAGACCCACCTGCAGACAGGGCTGAAGGACATTGAAAGTGGAATATGAATCCCCTTACTTTAAAGGGAAGACGGAAGGGCAAGGGGCAGGGGAGAAAGTGCTTTGGCAAGGACAGGGCAAGAAGGGATTATCAATGGCCTGGGATGACCAGAGAGAAATCTCTTAAGCTGGTGAGACATGGGGATGAGCCAAGGACAGAGGCCCAGGTGCTCAGTATGTCAACGCCAGCATGATTCCCCCAGCTGAAGAAGGGCAAAGCATGTCTGAGCTGGGGGCCACCAAGTCCAATGCCTGCGGGAACAGGGGTCCCGTGATGGAAGCGTGCTGAGAAAGCTGCACAGACCTGCAGGCCTCAGTGCTGCTTGGTGGCTGTGCCACAGGCTGAGGTCAGCATGGGGACCAGGCACCACAGCCTGAGCCCACTGCTGTGAGGCCCACCCATCAAGGAGGAGTCAGAGGTCACAGGCAACAAAGCAGGGTGGCCCAGGGCCCAGGACAAAGAGTCGTGATGGGAGAGAGCTCTGAACCACCCCTCTCCCTGTAGGGTGCCGCTGCCTGGGGAGGGCGCTGGGACGGGAGCAGCAGATCTGAGGCCACGGAAGTGAAAGCTGGTCTGGCCTTCCCTGACACGCTCTCGGTGTCTTGTGGGGCGGCAAGCCTGAGCCAGAGCATCCACCTGGATGAGGGCACAGCATAAGAGCCCCCACCAGAACTCCCCGGTGAGCCACCAGGAGAAGCAAAACCTAGGCCAACCCGGGTGGGTGGGGCGGCTGGTAGCAAACAAGGCCCAAATCTCTCCATCTCAGTGAGCCCAGGCCAGCAAATGCTAATACTGCAGGGGACAAGTGGGAGCAAACAGACACTGAGGATGGAGAGGAAGCTGACACATTTCCGCAGACTCCACCACTGTCCCAGCTCCCTTCCTGTTGTTTTCCTGCCCCTGTTGGGGAAAATAAAGGCAGAGAGTAGTTCCACTTATATGCAAGGTTACTTAATCTTTCATTATAGTCCAAAAAAGTGACACTTAAAAAACACACCACCATGTAGATGACAACGAGAGCAGTAGATGCAGGAAAGGTGCTGCTGCCATGTCTGCTGCACCTTCCACTGAGGGGGAGTGAAAATGGAGCGGTGGGGACTCTGGGCCATGATCCTGGTTCTGGCTTGGGCACAAAGCCTGGCGCTCAAAGGGCCAAGCCACATCTCTCAATACATGGGGCAGAGATCGAGAAGCAGCAATTTTGTGATTTTTGCTTTCAGAGAGTAAGATGAAATATTTCAAATGCCAGAGCCACAAAAGCGGCTCGTGATCTAGGAGGATAATTAAAGGGCAGCATAAAAAGAGCTCAGCCATATGCCTGCATAAAGCTTTGCACAATGCAACTCCTATCAGACGAGAGCTCCATCTGAGCCACAGGAGCCGTGGACCAGGAAAGGGCAAAATCACACCTTAATGCTGTGGAGGGAGGACCAATTTAACTCCTCCATCCTTGCAATGTTCTCAGTTAATCAGACAACCCTGCGGAAATCTGGTGCCCTTAAAATTCTCCATTAGTGAATATTTTATTTACCACAGGAAGTTCCCGAGACAGGAACATTATCTATGACTAACAAACCTCTCACCTGTGAAAGCCCAAAGATGGGACAAAATGTCTTAACATGAACCTAACTCGTGCTGTGTCACTAGGCTGAAGGCAACGATGGCACAGGGGTCACGGCAGCTTTACTGCACATCGTCCCATGGTTACTGGCGAGAGTGGAGCCAGCTTCTACCACCGGGAGTGTTTGAGAGCTATGTCACTACACCTGGGATGGGATCCACCTGGAACCCAGTAGATTCCTTCACCTCAGGAAACTTTTAGGTGAGGGCCTACTGCATCCAGGGCCAGGGCAGGGTCAGGGGGAGATACCACGTGAATGAGCCAGGACTCACTCACAGTCTGGCTAAAGGGAGGACACCCATTCCCTGGGTCAGATGCATTTATGGAAAAGCAAGTGGCTGGATCTCAGCTCGCAGATGGTCTTGGGCCTGAGACCCCTCCTGCAGTGTGGGAACAGATGGAACAGACAAAACAGAACCCAGAGAGGCTGATTCACAAAGTATGGGCTTTACTGTCTGGGAAACCTAACAACGCAAGTGGTCATGGGGCAGCGGTGCTGAAAAGACAGAGCACCTGCACCTGACCCAGGACGCGCTGAGCTCTTTGCCTTCGTTCCAATGGAGAAATGCAGCTGTTTACTCTGGGAGTGTTCTATCCTTTCACTCCGGTGTTTGCATTCTCCCAGGGGAAGTGACACCAAGTGAACCAACAACACACACACAAAGAAAAACAAAACAAAACTCCAAACTTGAGGTCCTGGAGAATTGGAACCCTGATGCACTGCTGGTGGAAAGTAAGATGGTGCAGCAATTTTGGAAGGTGGTTTGGACGTTGCTCAAAAGGTGAAACACAGAGTTACTATGTAACCCAGCAATTGCACTTGTAGGTGTATACCCAAGAGAACTGGAAACATATGTCCACGCAAATACGTGAACGTTCACAGCAGCGTTATTCACAACAGCCATCAAAAAGCCGAAACAACTCAAACATCCATCAACTGATGAACGGATAAATAAAACGTGGAATATCTACACAATGGGATATTATCTGACAATAGAAAGGAATGATGGGCCAATATATGCTACCACATGGATGACTCTAGAAAATGTTCCGCAAGGTGAAAGAAGCCAGTCATGGAAGACCACATACTGTATGATCCCGTTTGTATGAAATGTCCAGAACAGGAGACTCCATAGAGACACAAAGTAGATTAGTGGTTGACAGGAGCTGAGGGGAGGGTGGCGGAGATGGGAAGTGAGTGTGAAAGGGTCTGGGGCTTCTTTTTGGGGTGATGAAAATCGTTGTAAAAATTGACTGTGGTGATAGTTGCACAATTCTTTCAAAATGCTAAAAATCACTGACTTGTAAGTTAAATGTATTGATCATATGGTATGTGAATTATATCTCAATAAAGTTGTAAAAATAAAAACAATCCTAAACCCCTTTTCTTTTGAGACCCTAAACAAAATAGAATTTAAGAGAATGCTTTAACATATAAATCAGCTTTAGGACTGTCACAACCGGCCTGGACTGGCGTCTCCAGGTCTTCCCTATCTCACTCACATGTTTCCACTTAGTCTAGTCCATTTTTGTCCTAATGCAAACAACTAGAACGCTGGGAAAAAAAAACAAAAAAGGACTGTGATCCAAGAGAAGGGAAAAGATGAGTTGAGCTCCTGAACCCAAAGATACTCTTTGGACCACAGGCAGGAGGGGAGTCCCAAGCAGAGCGTCGTGAACATGCAGAGGTGAGGACACAAGTAGGGAGTCTGAGAGGTCGAGGTGGCTGGAATTTTCAGGCCAGAACACTGGAAAGGAGGGAGCTCTGCAAAGAATGAGCTTTAGAAATCCGTGCAACAGCCTTAAGTCCACTGTTGCACACTAAATGGCACACACAGAGGGTGAATGCTTTAGAACACGGGGCAAAACGACAGGGGAGTGTGAACTGACCCAATCCCAGAGCCCACACGGGCCAGGAGATGTCGAGCACAGGCCAGCCATTGTGGAGGGCTCTCACTGAACACTGAGCTTTTCAGTACAGACTTCAGAAAGGTCACCAAAGAGTAAAAGCTACTCTCAATTCACTCTAAAAAGCTTAAAAACAAACCTGAAAAGGATCAAATAAATATGCATATAACTTACCTACCTGCCAGAACAAAGTGCTAGTCTTTTTGAAGGAAGATGACAAAACACAGACACTCAACAACATGAAATACATAATGTCCAACCTCTAACCAAAAACTACTGGACATGTGAAAAAGCAAGCACATGAGGCCCATAACCAAGAGAAAAATTAAATAGAAAGAGACCCAGAAGTTAGAGAGATGATGGAATTTTCAGAAGAGAACCCTAAGACAGCTATTAAAAAATGTGCTCAAGGATCTAAAGTAAAACTTGAACACAATGAGGAAAGAAAGAGATATAAAAAAAGAACCAATGGAAATTCTGGAGACAAAAAACATGAAAAGTTCACTGAATAGCATCAACTGAAAACTACAAAGTGCAAAAGGAAAGATAAATGAACTTAAGGACACAAAAAGAGAATTCCAAACTTTAGCATGAAGAGTTTAAAAAAAGACTGAAAAGCAAAAACAAAAACAGATCCTTCATAAGGTCATTAGCAACTGTTGGGGAAGAGGGAAAATCCCCCTCTGCCCTTTCCCTTGAGGTGCTTATGGCTGACAAAATAATTAAAAGACAGGTTAGCAGTAGAAAATAATACCAAGTTTTATAAGA